GAGGGGGGAGAGTAAGGGTAGTCATATTGTATTGATAGAAAGTGATACAATATGTTGATGTCTATAGTAAACCAAAGTATTGTTTAATACTATTTTGTTTTAATATCTTCTTTACAAATAATTACTTGAAAATTTAGTACGAAAAATAAGAGAAGGTAAAGTAGAAAAGGTGTGCTAATTGCCCTCGGAGATTTCTCTATTATCCACCCCCCCCCCCCCCAAAAAAAAAAAAAAAAAAAAAAAAAAAAAAAAAAAAGAGGGGGTGGGGGGAGGGTAAGGGTAATTATGTTATTCTGATACAAAGTGATAGAGAAAGGGAAGTGGAGAGGGACACAATTCCCTTGTGTTGATCTTCAACCCCTTTGAAATTGGAAGCAAGAACTAAATATGTTTCAATCCATTTGCCTCGATTCACATGGCTTTTTCTCGAAGAATATAATGAGCAATAAATATAGTTGGTGAAACAATATAACTATAATTAAGGAACATCACTGGATAGGATTGTAGGATTTTGAAATTAAAATTCTAGTATATGAAAACTACTCGCTAATTTGAATGAAAAGTTGTATGTTTGCGCATTACACCCAAGGGTGTGGTCTAGTGGTCAATAAAGTGGGAGGAGAACCATGAGGCTCCGGTTCAAATCCCAGCGGAGGCAAAAAACACTAGGTAATTTCTTCCCATTTGCCTAAATTTTAGTTGGCAGAGTTACCCAACACCTGTGCTGGTGGGAGGTAGTAGGTATCTAATGAGCTAGTTCGGACATCACCATCATGAAAAAAATTGTATGTCTGCGTATGAATTTAGTTTTAAAATGTTTGAACTTGATTAGCATGATTTTTACTTCATATTTCACTTAACTGCAGTCTGTTTAAATTTTTATCCAAGATTTAAAATGGTTGAAATTGATTGACTTGAATTTTACTTCATATTCACTTAATTGCAATCTGGTTAATTTTTTGATCCATACAAACTATTGTTAATGCTTATAGTTTGGGTACACACACACACACACACACACACATATATTTTCTTTTTGCCATCTATTCCTCTCTAGTTCCGCTTTGAGCTTAAAGCCTTAGCTGACACTTGACACTCTTCTACGCTTTTGCTTTGACAAACACTATTCCCACCTAGAAGTAGGAACTGACAGATCATTAATGAAGCAGGTAATGTCATAAGGATTTAAGGGCTGCACCATTGGCATTAGTGGGAAGCCACATTATGCTTATATTGATGGTTACCACTGCGCAAAGGTTCTTGTACTATGACCACAGATTGTGATAAGTTGTGTATGAGGGATTCTGTGGACGAAATTGGAAAAAATGAGAGGGTGGAAACTAGCAAGAAGCATGGAAAAACTTGGTCAGGATGAAGACAATGAGAGAGGCATGAACAGAATGCAAACAAAAGAAGGGAGGCAGGTAAACAAGGTGGACGGATAAAAAAGGATTCACACAGGAGAATTAGGAGGAAGATGAGGGTAAGGGAAGGATTTTGGTTCCAAGGATTTGAAAGAAAGACATATACACACATCCACCAGCATGGGTTATGCAGTAAAGGGGTGAAGTACCAGTTTAGTGTGTGGAATGCATTTTGTTTTCTTGTGGGAAAAGTGCTATACTTGTCTGTACTAGGTAACATGTAGGTTTCTGTAATTCGGTGATTTTGTACTTGTATAGCACTAGCTTGTCACGTTTTGGGAATTAAATATCTTCTTTACTTATTCAAAAAATAAGGAAAGAAAAAAGGATAACAAATACAGTTTAATATATCGAGCACAAAGACTTGAGTACCAAAAGGATAGCAGTAAATATGATACAATCTAGCTATAATCAGTTTAAAGGGCACAAGTTCAAGAGTGCAGGATCTTTGTGCTAGTGCCATAGAGGGAGAAGTGGACCACTTGAACTGATTAATCAGTTGACTGAGTCACAATGGTTTATGGTCCACATCAATGGATGGATTTTATAGATCCCAACGGTAGAAACTGCTAGAGCAGATTTGGAATGGCAAGGATAGGTGGACTTTTGGTGTTGACTAATATTAGAGGGGGAGAGAGAAGAAAGAACAGCTGGGAGGAGAGGAACTGGCTGGGAAAGAAACAAAAGTAGGTGGGTATAGTCATTTGAGAAATGGTTTTTCAGATATTTTATATGGTATTGTTAAGAAAATGGACCTTGGGTCTAACTCAACCTCAAAAGTTAGCTAAAGAGATGATGGTTGCCCATAAGCCTATAAGAGACAATAACCCATTAGTCAAAACCAACGTGGGGCATTCTAACAACCTTCCAAACAGCCAGGACTGGATTGGAGCGAGGAAGATATAACATGAGCACCGAACATTGGGTAAACCAAGAATAGGAATGAGTCTAACTCTGATAAGTGATAGCATTTGAAGAAAATCGACCTTGGACCTATCTCAACCTCAAAAGCTAGCTCATGAGGTGAGGATTGCGTAGGTCCATAGAAGGAAACAACAACCTAATCCTTCAACCAATGTGGGACATCTTAACTGATATAAAGTGTATGGATAAACCTAATTTGTTGGGGCTCCTTGGGTGCTACTTAATATCCTATCTCTTATAGGGAGGTTATTTCAATAATATTAAGCTGAGCTAGAGTTCTCTTAAATTTAACTAAACTAGAGGTATCGATGTAGTACTGTTATTGGAGCAGTTTATTTTTGCTTACAGTAGTCAATCAATGGTTTAATATGAGTTCTTGATTAGAAAGATGATAAGTTTTGGGAATATTAAATGCCGCTCTAGATGCATTGCTTTCTTCTTCTTTCTGCTTCATGGTTTTTCATTTTTCTTGACTTTATTGAAGTCTCAACTCTCAAGCTTTTGGGTGTAGGGATTAAACACGCTGCCAGAACCCAGAACTGAAAAGCTTTTATCATGGGAAACCATCTTAATATCAATACTTCCTAATTTCAATAGTTCCCCATTTGTATTTTTGTGGATTTTTACTGCTTTTATATTTTTGATTTACTGTAGCTTTTGATAATGCTGGATTTACTTGCTTTTCTATTGCTTTATCTTGCTCATTGTTTATTTTCGGTTCAGGTTGGCATCAATGTAGCAATTGTGAGAAAAAGGCTTACTACATGTGCTATACATGTCCATTTTCGTTATGCAAGCGGTGTATAAAAAATGCTGTTATCCTGTGTGTTAGGGGTAACAAAGGCTTTTGTGAGACCTGCATGAGAACTGTCAAGCTAATAGAAAGCAATGGGCTGGGAGACAAGGATGTATGTACTCCTGTACCTAGCACTCTTCCCGGGATATTTGGTTATAATATATTCACCATCTACGTTGAGCTGCTCTAAATAGTTAAAAGTAAAATGCAAACTCTACTCAACAGATGAAATCCTTTTGTACAATTTATTTTTACTATTTCTATACTTTCCGTGCTATGTTAAAAATTTTGCTCTTTGCTAGCCCAGGCACCAGTAGATTTTGATGACAAGAGTTGCTGGGAGTATCTGTTTAAGGATTACTTTGTTGATTTAAAAATGAGGCTATCTTTATCTTCAGAAGAAATTGCCAATGCGAAAAGTCCTTGGAAGGGGTCTGATGAATCTGCTAATAAACATGAGTTGGCTGATCCTCAGTATGACAACAATGATGATGGAGCTTCAGGTTCAGATGATTCTATTGAAACTTTGGAAGCCAGTAAAACTAAAAGAAGAAGCTTAAAAAGACGATCAAAATCACTCAGAATTGAAGAGGATTCAACCAGTGCAGCTGCTGTTAGTGGAAGTGAAGGCTTCTCTACAGCTGGCACCACTGAATGGGCATCAAAAGAGCTGCTTGAATTTGTTAAGCATATGAAAAATGGTGATGCTTCTGTTATTTCTCAATTTGATGTGCAGGCTCTGGTGCTTGAGTACATCAAAACAAAAAAACTTCGTGATCCTCATCGGAAAAGTCAAATTATATGTGATTCAAGACTTGAAAGACTATTTGGAAAACCACGGGTTGGGCATTTTGAGATGTTAAAACTGCTCGAGTCTCATTTTCTTTTGAAAGAGGATTCTCAGATAGATGATGTTCGAGGCAGTATAGTTGATACGGAAGTCAATCACTTCGAAACTGATAGAAATGCTGACACTCTTACTAGTGGAGTCAAAGATAGGAAACGTAAACGTAAGAAAGGCGAAAGAAGGGGACCTCAATCAAATCGTGGAGACTGTGCGGCTATTAATGTGCACAACATCAGCTTAATTTACTTACGACGGAAGTTGATAGAGGACCTACTTGAAGAGATTGACAATTTTCATGAAAAAGTTTTTGGGACGTTTGTAAGAATACGAATTTCTGGTAGTGCACAGAAGCAAGACCTCTATAGGCTGGTGCAAGTCGTTGGTAATTATTTATAGTTCTTCTGATATTGCTAGTTTGGACATTTTTGTTTTCTCTGTTGTCACTATGTGTCTGAAATTGTACTTGAACCTCTTTCACCTCTTCCTATCATAAACAAGAGTCTTCTTGTTGCAGGTACAAGCAAAGCTGCTGAACCCTACAAACTTGGCAAGAGGACAACTGATATTGTGTTGGATATCTTAAATCTGAACAAGACAGAGGTTGTATCAATTGATACTGTCTCAAATCAAGATTTTACTGAGGTGATTGAATTGCAATTCACTAGCTACTTAATTTAATAGAATTTACTGAAACAATTCTTGTGGTAAAGGAAAAGACAAGAAAAGGAGGGAATAAAATGCATGGGATTTTACTGCAGCCAGCAAGCTTTGCCAACTGCATTTAGGTGTTGGTTGGCTTTTGAGTATGAGTATCAGATCCAAGGGTTTATATAGTCCATATTTGGCGTGCTCATGTTACCCTATGGGATTTTATCCTACAATGAGTGCCATTGCATCATCAATAATGCTCATCTGAAACATTATTAATATGTTCACTTATCTCGCTTGATAAAAAGGCTAAATTGATGTCTTCTGATCTAGCTGTTCACATGCTTCTACTTTCAATTGTCAGGAAGAATGCAAGCGTTTACGCCAGAGTATAAGGTGTGGACTGATCAATAGACTAACAGTGGTAAGACTGGAATTGATTGTGACAATATATGGTTACTATAACTTTGTCCCTATTCTCGTATTGCTGATAAATCGTCACATTTACAGGGTGACGTTCTTGACAAAGCCGTGGAAATACAGCCTGCTAGAGTTGATGATGTAAGCTAACTGCTTTCTTTTTATTACTTTTTCCAGTATGCATTTATTTTTAGATTTAAGGTGGTACCAGTATCATAAATGGGTTAACAACAGCAACAACAAGATTGGGTTGCTCTAGTGGTAAGCACCCTCCACTTCCAACCAAGAGGTTGTGAGTTCGAGTCACCCCAAGAGCAAGGTGGGGAGTTCTTGGAGGGAGGGAGCCGAGGGTCTATCGGAAACAGCCTCTCTACCCCAGGGTAGAGGTAAGGTCTGCGTACACACTACCCTCCCCAGACCCCACTAGTGGGATTATACTGGGTTGCTGTTGTTGTTGTTGTTTAAGGTGGTACCAGTATCATAAATGGGTTATTGTAACTAAATGGGCTGAAGGTAAGTTATTGCAGAGTTATAAGCAGTCCCCCTTTGGCACATGATAGTGGACATTTTCACTTCTCGCATTTTTTTCTATAGCTTTTATCAAACCTTGAACGATGTCTTTCTCTCTCTTTTTCTCGTGGGCTTGCCATCTCCCTCTCTCCCTCTCTCCCTCTGCAAATGCATATATAATCTTTGTGAGTCACCTTGAAGTAAAGTTTTGCAGTAGTCCTCAAGTATGCTCTTGTTTTTGACTTCCGGTGCCTGATCAATTTACATGAAACAGAGTTTCGTGTAACCGTAATTATGCCAAAGGACCTAATAGTGTTGGCAGTCAGCACTTTGCTGATTGAGTGTCGGAGATGCTTATGTAGTGAAACACGGACTTTGTAAAAAACGATATATACGTTAAAAAGGGAATTTATAGTAGCTTCTTTGAAGTTTAGTGTTTGAAACATTAACATCATAAGGATTCGGAGAGGTTTCTTATTATCAAGCCCCATCAACCAATATATAGCTGTTGTTATTACACTCTCCCGATGTTCAATGGTGCCATTTAAACATTTGGAGTTAAGTTTTCTAGGCTCTAAGACTGATTAGGAAATTTAGCAACACAACAGTGACCAGTCTTCTTAGAATTTTTCTTGTTGATCTTCTGGGTATCAGAGGTGTTTCTCTTTTTTTTTTCCTGGGTATGGACTAGTCTAGTTAAATTACATGGGAGATGAAGACTCTTTTTTAGGATAGCTATTCGCTCTCCTCTAGGTGTGAGCGTAATCATTCTAGTTAGCAGTTACGTAGATAGCTACTTTTAGCTAAATGTAGATTGTTCGGCAACTATATATTGATTGCTAAGATGTACATAGAGTAATGGGCCTATATAGGTGTAAGACATTTATATCACGTTTTCTCTCAATTCTCTCTCCTGCCTCGTATTTCTCAGAGATGTCATTATCTATATGGTTTTCAAAATTGTTCTAATATATTATACGATAAAGTCCCGAGGGAGGTTCTGTGGAGATGTTTGGAGGTTAGCGGCGTTCCGGTAGCATACACTAGGGTAATCAAGGACATGTATGATGGTGCTAAGAATCGAGTGAGGACAATGAGAGGTGACTCGAATCACTTCCCAGTAGTGATGGGGTTGCACCAGGGATTGGCGCTTAGCCCGTTCTTATTTGCTCTAGCAATGGATGTGCTGAAGCGGCACATTCAAGGGGAGGTGCCATGGTACATGTTATTTGCCGATGACATAGTGCTGATTGGTGAGACGAGAAGCGGGCTAACGCGAGGCTGGAGGTCTGGAGACAGACCTTAGAGTCTAAAGGTTTCAAATTGAGTAGGACCAAAACGAAATACTTGGAGTGTAAGTTCAGTTACGAGACTCATGAAGTGGACGTGGATGTGAAGCTTGATACCCAAGTCATCCCGAGGAGGGGTAGTTTCAAGTATCTCGGGTCTATAATCTAAGGTAACGGGGAGATTGATGATGAGGTCTCCCACCGTATCGGTGCGGGGTGGATGAAATGGAGGCTCACATCCGGTGTTTTGTGTGATAAGAAGGTGCCACCAAGACTTAAGGGTAAGTTCTACAGAGTGGTGGTTAGACCTACTATGTTGTATGGGGCTGCGTGTTGGCCAGTCAAGAACTCCCATGTTCAGAGGATAAAAGTAGCAGAAATGATGATGCTGAGATGGATGTGCGGGCATACCAAGAGAGATAAGATTAGGAACGAAGTTATTCGGGACAAAGTTGGAGTGGCCCCCGTGGAGGACAAGATGCGGGAGTTAAGACTGAGATGGTTCGGGCACGTGTAGAGGAGGAGTACGGATGCTCTTGTTAGGAGGTGTGAAAAGCTGGCCGTGGCGGGGCTGAGAAGGGGTAGAGGTAGGCCGAGGAAGTATTGGGGAGAGGTGATTAGCCAGGACATGGCGCTACTTCAGCTTAATGAGGACATGACCCAGGAGAGAAGGGTGTGGAGGTCGAAGATTAGGGTAGTAGGCTAGTAGGTAGTCGAGAGTTCCCCGTTCTTTTTAGTAGTATTAGTAGCTCTCTTGTTTTTTTGGGTATTCTTTGACCTCTAGTATTTGTTTATTGTTTCGTTCGCTCCGTGTCGTATTTTCCATTTTATTACTATTTGATGCTACTTTTTCTTTTTCTTGTTGTTGTTGTTGTTGTTGTTGTTACTATAGTTGTCTTTTTCCCTTTTTCCTTATCGTCCTTTGTCCCTCTATTCTTTCTTTCTTCTTCCTCTTTCTTCTTCGTCTTCTTCCTTTCTCTCTCTTTTCACCTTTTCTTGAGCCGAAGGTCTATCAAAAATAGCTTCTCTACCTCGCCAGGTAGGGGTAAGGTTTGCGTACACACTACCTTCCCCAGACCCCACTTGTGGGATTATACTGGGTATGTTGTTGTTGTTGTTGTTATCATGCCTGATTATCTGTGCTGAATTGCAGTGGCTGGAATCGGAGATCCTGCGGCTTAGTCATCTTCGTGATCGAGCTAGCGAGAAAGGGCGTAAAAAGGAATATCCTTTATCATCAATATTTTCTCACTCTTTCTTTAAGTGATCACTTATGTAAAGTCTATTATGTTCTCATATTTATCAAACGAATAGATAATTATGCTCTTCAATTTGACATAACTTAACAACTATGGATGCTTCCTGTATGACTGCTGTTTCGTTTTGTATTCCCTTTCTTGCAGGGCAGGATTGTTAGGTCCAAAGTGCACTACCGTGACCAGTTGACCATATTTCCTTTGTCTTGTCATGACAGAGTCTGCATTATGATTCAGACACTGAATCACGTGGTTCCGGAAATCTTGCATTAATTCGGGGCATTCTTTTTTCTTTTTGAATTATTATTTGCATTGGATGGGTGTTTACTGCTACTCATTCCATTTATCTCTGCTCTGTCTGACCTAGAGTTTTAGACCTTGCACATTGTTTTTTTCTTCCCAGATAAAGTATGGAGGGACCATCCTAGACAACAGAAGATGAAACCTCTAGAAGCTCACCTACCCTCCCAACTTGTTATCTTTTTTGAAATCATCATTTGCATGTAATTATGATTATGATGGGGATGTTATTCATGCAAGTTCAGCTGAATAGTTGATATCTTCTTAAGTTCCAGCTGGTCCAATAGGCCTTAACTAATGATTACGCTTAGAGAATGCGTGGAGAAACTGCAGCTTTTAAAGACTCCTGATGAACGTCATCGTAGACTTGACGAAGTTCCAGAAATACACGCAGATCCGAAAATGGATCCGAGCTATGAGTCTGAGGATGATGATGGGGAAAAAGAGAGTAGACGAGGTTTATGACTTCCCTTTCTTCTTGTCTATCTATTTCATATTACGGAGTATTGGTTTAAATTTCTGCTGCTGCCGCAGATGTTTATACAGGGTCACGAGATTCCAGTTTCAGCAGGAGAGGAAACGGGCCAGTTTCCCCTGGAAGCAACTTTTCTCCAAAAGATTCTCGGGGGAGTGCAGGGAAATTTCAGTCTAAAAATTGGGAATTCGACAGAAGTTTGTCCAGTAAAAACATTTTTAGCAAAAGCCAAGATGCTGCACGTATTGGTGAGATTGTAAATGAGAATGCATGGAAAGGGAAAGATTGGGAGACAGAATCGCAGAATCTGGAGAAGCTCGTTTCTGCTACCAATTCTGAAACAATTGGATGGAATAGCGATGTTGTGTCGAGATCTTCAGGTGTTGCATCTGTTCCTTCTCCAGCTACACTCCCAGTTAAGGCTGCAGAAACTGTTGTCAAGATCAATGAAACAGAAAAGATGTGGCATTACAAGGATCCTTCTGGAAAAGCACAGGGGCCATTTTCTATGGTTCAGTTGCGTAAATGGAGCAATACAGGATACTTCCCTGCTGATCTGAAAATATGGAGAATTACAGAAAAGGAAGGCGAATCTATTCTTTTGACTGATGCATTAGAAGGAAGGTTTGAAAAAGCTTCACCAGCAGTTGACAGTATACATTCAAGAGCTATCGTGCAAAATCGAGATGGAGAGAGACCTCATTTGAATCATAGTCGTGGTTCTGAGAATTCTCCTAGTCTTTCTGTTTCCGCTAGAGGTGGAATTTCTTCTTTTGTTGAAGTAAGGGAATCAGAAAATAATGTGAGTTCTGTTACTGGTTTTGGTCCCGTGCTCAACTCTGGAGAGGGTATCCCAGCAGGCCCAACAAATCCAATGCAACATACTCAGTCGATTGCTAGTAATGAACAACATGCGGCAGTTATGAATAACCAACCTGGCTCACAAAATGCAACTGTACAGTCCATTCAGTCTCTTAATATTCAGAATCCTAATGTGGGTGCTCATACTTTTGCTGCTGCTTCATTGAATGGAGAAACAAATGGTTCTGTTGCTGCTCCTGGGCATCCTCAGGGATATGGTAATTGGGTTACGTCTTCTGTTCAAAATTCTGCTGTAAGTTTCTCAAGCGCAGGAGCCTCAGTTGTGCCTCAACCTCATTATTGGGGAGCTCAAACTCAAGGTGGCCAACCCAATGTGCAACCTCCATCTATGCCTACTGCACCCTGGGGTGTGGTGCAGCCAGAGAGTATCAGTTCTGCATCAGCACTCAGACCTGAAAATCCAAATACTGGCTGGGGCATGATGCCAGGAAATGCAAACATGACCTGGAGTGGACAGGTACCGGCAGCCATGAATATGAACTGGGGAGTCACTGTTCAAGCAATGCCTGTTGGAAATGCAAATCCTGGTATGGTTGTGCCTACTGTGCCAGTTCTTGGGAATTTGAACCAAGGATGGGTTGCACCATTGGGTAATCCTATGGTCCAGGGATTTGCGCCTGGTAATGCAAATCAAGGCTGGGTTGCTACAACAGTGAATATGGGATCAACTGTTCCCGGGCTTACGCCTAGTAACGGGTGGGTTACTGGAATTGGAAATCCTGGAACTCTTGTCCAAGGACAATCACAACCACCAGGAGATGCTAATGCAAATCAAGGTTGGCGTCCATCTACTGGAAGTCCGGGCACGAGAAATAATGAACACCGGCATCATGGGGGTAACTTCTCACGTCACAAGGACGAGGGTTCTCATGGTGGCAACTCAGGTTACAATGGTGGACGCTGGAATAGGCAGTCATCTTTTGGCAGTAGAGGGCCTGGCGGTTTCTTCAGAAGGAATAAGCCCTGTCCATATAATACGAATGGTCGATGTGTAAAGGGCTCTGAGTGTAATTATCTTCATAGCTAATCAGAGTTGTAGGAGATGCATGATTTTGTACAGCAATATCAATCGCAGTTTTTCCTTGTTTTAGGTTTAGTGTCCTTTGATTGTAAAACGTTTGCAGGTTTAGTACCTCAGCTCTTACCTGATCTCGTGCAATTTTCCCTGCAGCAAGATCTCAATCTACCTGTGTTAGTTTTTGTTCTAAAGGAAGCCACAAGCGGGCGTTATGGTCAATCAATCTGCCTCTAGTATATTTCTTCTCTTATTTTTATTTGGCAGAAAAGCCTGGTAGACACTTGTACTTGTACCGTTTTGACATCCCGACTTTTACTTTGCGAAGTTTCATTTAACGTCTTTGACCATTGATTGAGCTTATGTGGTGTTTATATGGCTGAGGTGGACAGTGCATGATTTATATGCACATATGGTACGTGAATTCAATGAATTGGTAATTTTACTTCAATAGAAATAAAAATAAGACAACCGAAAAATAAACAAAAGAAAAAAGAAAATATATAACAGAACTACCCTCCCTTGCCCTCCTTCTCTGGTTCTCCCCCTCCCTATCTCTTTTCTTCATCAGATCCCTCCCCTTTCCCTTTCTCTTCATCTTTCTTTATTCTTTTATATTCCATAAGATTTTCGGCTTTGTGCATCCCTTCTTCCATCAAATGTCTCCAACCATCTTCTTCCCTTTTCCCCTTTTTATGGTTCCACAATTTTTTCCAGTGGTTAAAGTATTTAAATCAAAACTTTTCTTCCATCAATATTCTCCAAAAATAAAATATATTAAAATAAATATAGAAAAGGGCCAGATGTGTCACTGTACTATCAGAAATTAGTTATAGGTACCGTCCATTATACTATTCTTCACTATCTACCCCTGCCGTTACGCATTTTGACATCGGCAAAGGGCCAAATATACCCCTCTACTTTAGAAATTGGTATAAAAATACTCCTCGTTATACTATTGGGTTATCTATACCCCTACAGTCATACTTTGGGTTTAAATATACCCCTCATTTAAACGGAGGGACACGTGTCATCGTCCTGTTGGTCAATTCTAAATATCTCCTAATTAATTAAAAAGACCCATTACCCATATCCGAAAAATAATTTTTTTTTTTGTAAAAACTGGAAAAAACTAATTGTTTTTTTTACAAAAAACTGAAAAAACTAAAATATTTTTTTCTCCAGTTTTTACAAAAAAAAATTTCTTTAAAAAAACTGAAAAATATTTTCTAAAATAATATTTTTGTAAAAACTGGAAAAAAAACTGAAAAGTAATTTTCTAAAGCAATTAAAAACTGAAAAAAACTGAAATATTTTTAACTAAAAACTGAAAAAAAAGAAAATATTTATTTTTTCAGTTTTTACAAAAACATTGCTTTAGAAAATTATTTTTTAGTTTTTTTTTCTTAGTTTTTACAAAAATATTGTTTTAGAAAATATTTTTCAGCTTTTTTTAAAGCAGTTTTTTTGTAAAAACTGGAAAAAAAAATATTTTCATTTTTTTCAGTTTTTAGTAAAAAAAATAAAATCTGTTTTTTTCAGTTTTTACAAAAACAATTGCTTTAGAAAATTGCATTTCAGCTTTTATTTTTTCAGTTTTTACAAAAACATTGTTTTAGAAAATATTTTTCAGTTTTTTCAGTTTTTAGTAAAAATAATTTCAGTTTTTTTCAGTTTTTACAAAAATAAAAAAATTATTTTTCGGGTATGGGTAATGGATCTTTTTAATTAATTAGAAGATATTTATAATTGACCAACAAGACTATGACACATGTCCCTCCATTTAAATGAGGGGTATATTTGAACCCAAAATATGACTGCAGGGGTATAGATAACCCACTAGTATAACGAGAGGTATTTTCAAAAGTAAGGGGTTATATTTGGCCCTTTACCATTGTAATATTTATGCCCCTGCATCTAACATACCCATTTTACCCTTTTTACCCTACCCGTTCAGCCCCAACCCAATAGCCTCCTATTCGCCCACAAATAGACCTAATCTTGTTTTCTTCTCCAAAACTAGCGTTTTGCCTCATCTGTTGCGATTTCCCTCTGTTTTCTCTCTTCACCTCCATTTCTTTCAATTAGCTAACTGTTTGCACAGCTTCAAAAAATCCAATGCAAGTCCTCAGCTGCATTTTATTTACTCCTTAAATCCTTTCACGTTCTGAACAGAAATATCACTTTTGTTCAAAATGCATCTTAGATTTTCCTCTGTTACCCCACTATCCCTTACTCAAACTTTATGTTGGTCGACAAATTATTCCTTCCCTAAATTATCAAGAGGTGCCTGATATTAGAGCTTTGAATACCTTGTTAATGCACATATTTGTTCTTTTACCAAATATCTGATACAAATGTGTAGTATCTCATATTTTCCATTCAAATGAATTTATTAAGATATTATTTTACTGTACTCATTATTTAATTCTCGAATAGTTGCACAATGTGCTTTATATCTATTTTTAATTATGAAATTTATGGGGTAAGAAATCCCTTTTCCATCAATGGTAAGTTCAGTAAGAAAAATATGAGTGATCCCGAAATAATCACAATATTTCATCGAACTTGACACTTTTTTAGCCTTTGATCTTCGATACAAACTGGACATGGTTCTTTTTGACAATTTTTTTTGTATTAACCATTGAAATCAAAAGAAAAGAACACTATACTATCAGTGGCGGAGCCAACCCTTAGTCGAAAATTATATCGCGCAGATAGATTAAATATTTTATTTTTATGTATATATACTATTTGTTGATCCGCCACTGTATACTATACCAACGTCATCCTAACCTTTCTAACCAAACAAAGCAGTGCAACTTACTTTCCTATCTTCAAAGCCATGATAATGTTCACCGACACTAATGGAGCCTTGACTTGAGGATTATCATCGCAAAATGAAAGAACTGAAATTTTGATTTGGAGTAAGTGATATGAAAAAAGAATTGAAATAAGTGTAAAGAAAAATCAGTTTCATCTATGAGTATGAAAAAGAAATTGAAATAAAGTGTAGAGAAAAATAAGTTTCATCTATGACCGAGAAAAATCATTTCTCTCTTGCGCTTATCAAATACCAGTAAAGTTTTCTTTTATGATGGGGCAAAACCTAAGTTTGCAGAAGAAAACAAGATTAAGTGTTTTTAGGGGTGAATGGGAGGCTATTGGAACGGGTAGGGTAAAAGGATACATGGTTAGGCTGTTTAAAATCGTCTCACTTGACCTTAAAAATGGGTCTGTTAGATGCCGGGGCAAAAATATTAAAATGTGTAATGGCAGGAGTAGATGGGGAAGAATAGTATGACTAAGGGTACTTATAACTAATTTCTGATAGTACAAGGACACATCTAGCCCTTTTTCGAAATAAATGAATAAATTTTGTTTGAGTTTTCAATACTTCTTAAATACTAAGCTTGTTGGGTATCTTTTCTGGCGATAGAAGCATTTCAAAATTTTGGGCTTGATAGTTATCTTTTATGACTATTATTTTCTTGTCGCTCGCGAAATGAGTGTGTCGTGATGGTCACTAGTGGGTCAAAAATGGGCAAAACTGGTGAAAGTTGCCGATGAGCGGTGGAGTGATTGTGAATTTGTGTTTGAGTATCAATTAAAATCTTGTAAAGTCTGTCCGTTTGGATTTGGAGAAATTGTGTAGATAAGCCATTGTTTCTAGTGGGTTGACTGAAGCATGGTTTAAAAGACCAAAACATGGGTGCGAGAACATGAAACAAGGGTTTTAATTTTATTTTTTCAAATGGAATTTTTAATTGACAAAAATAGAAAATGACATGGCAAGTGATGTGGATCTGATGTGTCATTCCCGTCAAGCAAGTGAGAAACATGTATAATAGTCATTACAATGAGGTGTTTAAAATACTGTTTGGATACGTACAAGTGCTTAGATAAAACTTCGTAAAATAGAAGGCCTGGGATGTCAAAACGATACAAATACAAGTATCTATCAGGCTGTTCTGCCTTTTTATTTTCGAATAGTACTTGTACTTATTTAGCCAAACTAGGAAATTTAAGTGGACTTAATGGTACTTAACTTTGTTTGTATTGTTACTAGTGATGGTAGGCTAGGAACTCGTGTTTTAGCTATATTTTACACTCTAATCACTATATTTTATTGTATTTGAGCCAAACTTTTAGTACTTTATTCTTATTGCGTGTTTTATACATTACAGGAAATAATTCGAGCTATTAAGATAATTTCGAGCTAATTTGAACAAGTTGGATATTTGAAGTCTGAGTAAAAGCCCAAAAAATTAAGTCGTGATCACGTTCGGGAGTCGAGGACTAAGTCTGGATGTCAAAAAGTGAAAAAAAAGACTACTCTGAGAAAAATGCACTACCGCGCCGCGAGGCGCTAGTGCAAAATTTCTGCTGAGTGTAAAAATCAACTCTTTGAATTTCTCCACAAGCGCATCGCGTGGGGCGGCGCGCCATGCGCCACGCATGTGCAAATTTTATAGAGTATTTCTCCTACTTCAGTTTGAAAAGGATAGTTTCGCCGGGACCCATTTCTACATGGTATAAATATACCAAAAATATGATTTTTGGGGGACTTTTGACCTACGAAAGCTTTGGGAGAGCATTGGAGGCTACAAGATACAGGATTTCATCATCTTTCCATCAATTCAATACGGAAATTTGGATTGTAACATTAGATTGATGTTTTCTTACTCTTTAATTCTATTTGTGATGACTTTCTCTACATATATGGAGTAGTTTACCTTAGGGTGTGACATGATTTGGTGACTTAGTTGTCGTTTATGGATTTGACTACTGTTTAATTGCTTGAATTTATTGAAAGAGCTTTAATATAGTTGTGATTTTATTCTTTATAGTGTTTAATCGAAAGAGAAATATCTTATTGAATATTCTTGCAGCGTATGCCTTAGTTTATTTTGGTGATTCTTTGAAGTAATCGAGAGAGCTTTTTGAGTTACCGTTTAAATTAAGATTGAGAAATATTCGCGAGAAGTTTCTCTCAGATCATTCCTACGAATAAATTCTTGCAAGTTTTACCGTACTTCACATTAGTTTATTTGAAAGATTTAGATTTAATCGAGAGAAGAGTCTGAATCAGAAGTATAAGCTAATCACCTATTGAATTCGTGAGTATCTATAGAACCTCAAGAGTGAAATATAACAATATCATATCTATAATAACAACCTTGCACCTATCATGCCAAAACCCTAACCTCTCACATTGATAAGAAACCAACTCTACTAATCTCTAGTTCTTTTCAGTCAATTGTCAAATACTTTAGTAGTTAAAAATAGTTCGTAATCATTCCAATCAACTTTTGATCATCCTGAATAGCAGTTAAAC